TACTTTTTCCCATTGAATCTTGAAGAGGACATCCGGGAAACTAAAGAGATGCAGAGGTGTTCAGAAAATGGGACACTGGCAAAGTTGCGGGAGAGAGTAGAGTCCAGAAATAAAAACATGCCTCAGTTTTCTCCAGACCAGTCAGATATCAGGGTCCTTCGTACCGTGCAGTCGTTGGGTCTTTATGAGCTTCTGGAGTGTCAGGCAGGTGAACTGCACACACTGGGGGTAAAGAAACCGTTTCCTGCAAACCAGCCTGATCAACCTGCACAGTCAACTACGTCGCCGTCAAGGTTTCAAGGGTCGGGTTCTGGAATTCAAGGTTCGGTTTCTAGTGAAAGCCACGAATCAAGTGCATCGAGCCAGTTAGTTCGATGTCTGTCGTATCCGTCAAAGCTTGAAAACCTCGTTCTTGTGGGGACCATTTTCAGTTCAAATAATATTTGCAACTTTGTACGTGAACCTGAAAACGCCCCGAAGTTGATAAAGCTTGATCTTCGGCTGAATAAGCAGTTTGATGATGATGCGTTCTGTGCAGTTGCAGCATTACTCAACCAACGCTGGAGAAAACCCGTCGATGAAATGGCAGATCTCCGACTGTCTTTGAATAAAGTAACTCGTAAAGGGTTTAGTAGTGTAGAGAAGAACACCGACAGTGATGGAGCCGGCGCCTGGTCTCATATAGAAACACTCTATCTACTGCATGGTGACATTCCAAATGAATTTTGTGACTTCCTATTTCAAACCCTGAAAAAGAAAATACCATTCTCGGTTAGAAAGGATAGAAAACCGTATACTGAAATACTATATGGTAAAGAAACAGAAACGCTGAAGCCACCCTTTTGTGGACTAATTAACAAAGACAGATCATTCAATCGTTGAAGAACATAAGAAAGGCCATTAATGCTTTTTTAATGATTTTTTTTTTCAGCTATTATATACAGTGTAGAAACTGATACAAATCAAGTAGGGAATACACATTTTGAAAAGTTTGTTTTTTAAAATCATTTTTTTAAAGAGATTGGTATTAAAGAATGACAAATTTGTTGGAAGTGGATTCTTTGGGCAAAAAGTAGATGAAATTTCTCAATTTGAAGAATCTCGATAAGTTTATTTTGTTGAAGAAGATCAGACATAACGGGATGCATGACGCGGTCACACTAGAGGCGTACCATAAAGGTAAGGGTTTTTTTAAGTCAAAACGTAGAGTTTCTCGTATAATCCCGGTTCACCAACGGGAAACCAGAAACATTTTGCACACATGCAGTGGCATTTCTATAGCGTCAAATTTCAAGCGCAGCAATTTTGTGAATGGTAAACTGAAGGCAAATTAATTGAGTGGTCGGGCACAACCCGACCACTCTTTGGATTTGTTGCGATTAATCTTTCTTTCTTTGAGTGGTCGGGCACAACCCGACAACTCTCTGTTTTTGTTCCGATAAATCTTCTTCTTTTTTTCCGGACAATACTTCTCCGCGGCTTTTCTCCTAAACGGTGCATGATATGAACTTGTAACTTTCAATATTTATCGACCCTCATCCCTAGTGGTGCATATTACTCTGACGTCATGATGACGTCATCGGGTGTCAAATTACAAGCAATTTCAGCTGAAAAGTGATCAATTACTTTCACCTATAACTCTTGAACAAAATAATCAATGATCTTTGTACTTCGTTATCGGATAGACCATGAATTGATAAACATTTTTGGTTGCGTACGTGAACTCGCTTGATCTTTACTTCCGGGTAAAACTATGCGTAGAGTGATTGGTACATTCATAAACTTGACGAAAAAAAATAGAGAAAGTAATAATGGTTATTCTGCCATTGTTATTGGTTATTACGCGGTAAACAAAGTGATGCCTGGTAAGGTTTGTGTAGATTTTTTATTGCTCTTGTATTTCCTTTTCCATTTAAGAGTAGCTAAACTTTTCCTTTAACACATGAATACATCTGTAATTGCATCGGCTTTTGCACGTTTTAAACCACGACTGTTTATGTTAATATCTATGACATGGCTGGCATACTGTCAGAGTAGTTGCAAGAATTGGGGTTTAAGTCGATACCCTGGATGGATATATATTTATCTAATTTATCAGAAAGTGTCTGATATTCCTCGCTTTTTTGAAATTATTACTTAATGGTATTTACGGACTTTCAGAAAATTTCGTTCTGTGAGAAAATAAACCAGCTTAAGTTAATATAAGCAAAACAAGTCAAGCTTATATAAGTGTACATGTATATGTATAAAACGTAAAACGTCGCCGTTGGCATTGTGAATCGACTTATTTCCGATGCATGTATCTTAAAAGAACATGAAACAAGTAGTGCTAGACTAAAGCACGTGGTGCTGATGCTATAAACAAACAAAGAGGCAAGCCTCGTATAGCAAGTTACAGTCAGTGAGATGTTTAACCAGTCTAATTCACAATGAGTCAGACAGTCAGTCACTCAGTCGGACATTCAGTCAGAGACAAAGATTCTTGGGCTGCGCCGCTTTTGGACCAGCGAAAATAGAGTATAATTACAATTTTAAATTTCACCCTGTACCTAATACCTGCCTGGGTATTTAAGATCAATTGCGAAGTAATGTTATATCAAAAGGAGGCAATTTTGCTGTATTCGTTTGAAATCAAGTAAAGATCCTTTGCCCTGTGATGAAAAGTTGATAACAATATACATGAGTAGCAATAAACTTAATGTAGCTGAAGTAAGTTGAAACTCAACTTTTCATCACACACATACGAATTATAAAGCACTGTGATAAGAACTCTTGGCAAATAGAAGGATACCATTGGAGTTAAAGGATTTCTTCTTTCAGTAAGCAGATTGATGGCAAAGAATATATGTAAAGAAACTTTGAAAATAGGCAGATTGTTAATAACCGAAATTTTTGTTTTATTCAAATTATTTACCGAGCAATATATCTTATGACTAACCACTTAATATACGAATGAATAAAGAATATTCGAACCTCACAATGTCAATGTTTATCTTGCCGTTTCCTTACGAAGCTGGATTTTGAACCTATATAGCAATGCAAACAATAAATGCGGTCTATTTAAACAACGAAATGCAATAGGCCTACTGTTCTATGGAAATCTATTTTTACATCAACAAAAGTCCAACTTTACATGTAAAGTAATTTGGAACACCCATTTTCTGTCGTGCTTTTTAAAAAGTATATATCAGGAAAGTAATCCTTAATTGATCGAACATAAAGAATTTTGCTCACAGAGACATTCTTAACTATTGTCTTTCGCGTGAAGATGTGTACCGACAATAATAGCCTCAAGTGGCCCTTTCTCCTTTGCTACGGATGCTGACGAACAGTGCCACCGTGCGTTTGAAAGTCCCGTCTTGTTTTGAGCCAAATTATGTTTCGTGAACTACCATAGCCTTGAATGCATGCCGTATATGCTCTTTAACAGCGTGCCATAGCTGGCCCAGGCCAAGGAGCTTGCCGGCCACAGCCGACCGGGCTCCACGTAGTCCACACACAGCGAACCCCGATCCGACCGCGCGCTGGCGAAGCCCACAATGTATTCACACTGCCATCACGGCCTATGGGCCGTGAGGGCAGTGTAGTCCCATCTCGCGTGTACATGTAGTCGCATCTCGCGTACATGAGATTTCCACTTTCGCGTGGCATGTGATCTGGTACACGGTACCCTGTGAAGACATGTGCATAATAGGAAACAAAAGATTGTTTACGTCTCCACACAGCAAGTTATATAGGTGAATATACAAGTTTATCACGAAATAGATATATGGATTTTACTCAAAAACTAGGAATTTCCAAGGTGGGTTGATGTGTCGCAAATTGATGTATTTCATGTAAGGGATATAATGTCTGAATTTCAGCCCAGCAAATTTTACTAGTTAAAACTTTCGCAGCTAAAACTTTTTAGACACTGTCGTCGAACCTCCAAAAATCTTTATCAATCTTGAAACATTTAATGAGAAAATGTAAGCTCAAACATTTACAAAGAATGGACAGCTTTCTCCCAAACAGGCAGACGAGCCAACTCAAAGGTGTCATCACAATTTACAAAAGCGCAACATAGCAAGTTAAAACGGCTTCAGCCAGACATAACAAATAAAACCCAAAACATGTACTCGCCGGATAGAAATAGAAGCTTAAAACATAGTTAAAGGAGAACTGCGTCCTGAAAATCGCTTGATTTGGCTACAAAAAGCGCTTTTAACGAAACAAAGAGTATTTAAAAGAACAATGTAAACGAACACCTCAACCATTTTAAATACTGCCAGTTTTTCGTGTTATTCATGTGAGAACACATTTCAGGGGTCATCATTTTCACTCAAATCAAGCAGTTTGGCTGCTATATAGTCGGGATTCCTGTATTAAATGTTTCACTAGTGCAACGCATGCTGTGGACGTGCGGGAAAAAATACCTGTGCATCAGGTGTACACGCGTTACTTGGTGCTGTACTGTGGTTTATATCAGTTTCCAGCTGAGAAGCCCAACCTACATGTACCGATTTCTCATTTTACCCCTCTAGTTCAGGACAGAAATGTGTATCACAGAACGTGTACAGTATAAGTTTCCACAACTCTTTACAAAATACTTCCTTGTTACCTTGTAATATCACCACTTTCTTCATAACTGACATTAACACACACAAAAATACATATCAAAACCTACGAAAAAGTCGACAAAAAGAGACTTGCCCTTTCTTTTGAACGCAACCGTTTGTACACAATAAGGACACATTAATCTTGCTGATCTTGTACCAAGTACCGGTATACCTTAACGTTGATTGAATAGGTGCACCAGACTGAAAGTTATCCAGGACTGAATCCAAGATGCAATATGCACATACTGTGAGGTCATACATTCTTCAAAACTGACATTAACACACAAAATACATATCAAATCCTACGAAAAAAATAAACAAAAACATTCTTGCCTTTTCTTCTGAACGCGATCGTTTGTACACAAAAAGGACACATTAATCTTGGTGAATGAATACCTTAACGTTGATACAATAGGTGCACCAGACTCAATCTTATCCAAGTATGAATCCCAGGTGCAATGCACATACTGTGAGGACACAAATGTTTTTAGGGACCTTACTTATTTGGCTTTGTGAATTTCGTTACGTCGTCTGCACTTGTTATTACCATTTGCGTCCCTAATTTTAGGGTGAAAGACTACATATTCTGCTTTTTCACTTCTTTCTGAGGTCAGAGGATGTCAGGTAAAAAAAATAAGTTACATTATCAATTCTCAATATCGTATGTATTTCTTTTTACTGGCCTAGACTATTATGCTAATCTATTAAAGTGATCTTGTCGCCAATTAACATGTTGCCTGCAAATGCAGTCAGAATCGTAAAAGGCGATTAAGCTTGATTAATGACGACGACATCCAAGTAACTCCAATCGCAGACCAACACCACCAGACCATGAAGTGGGCTCAATACGCACCACCATTACCGCCACACTCTCATCAAATAGGTTAGTGACCGGGGTGTGAATATTGGTGTTAGCGACGAACACCTGGAATTAAAACAAATACAATCAAATATTAAGATACTCGATGCGCCGATATTATTCTACAGGGTCTCAGATTTGTGGCTATGGGCCCTAATAATAATAATGATAACACAATTTATAGCACGTATTCTCGCAAGTAACAATTCGCGACTAAGGACAACTCCAGATGGCAAAGTTAGAGAATACGAGAAGAGAACAGATCAGTTTTCAATATATCCTTAAAGTTGTCAAGAGAACTGATATTACGGTTATTGTGCGATAAAGAATTCCAGCACCGGGGACCAGACACTGAGACGGCCCTGGGTGCGTTGACCCTAAAAGGGCCGGAGCGGAATCTCTCCCCCCCCCCCTAACTTTTTCCGCGATAGCCTTGATTTTTTTTCGCGACCCAAGCTATAATGACTTTTTAGCCTGGAGCTTTGCGCATCTTTTGATAACAAAAACAAATACAAATCGGACCAAGGGTTGCCGCGCAGCGGAAAATTTTACAGCGCTACGCGCCGGGAAAACTGAGTTTTCCCACAGACGTCGTGTACACATCTTTTAATAACAAAAACAAATACAAATCGGACCAAGGGTTGCCGCGCAACGGAAAATTTTACTGCGCTACGCGCCGGGAAAACTGAGTTTTCCCACAGACGTCGTGTACACAGAGCAGAATTCCCATTTGTACATATAAACAATTAATTAATTAGCCATGATTCCAAACCCTTTTGACCTATGGTCATGAAATTCTTGGTTATGTTCATGATGAGATGCTCTATGCATGTTCCGAGTTTTTCGTCGCAGAATCCGCCCCCGCCCCTCCAGTTGACAGATGGTCAAAATAACCCGGCCCTTTTATGGTTAAGGGAGAGGGGTCGCAGAATGTAATGCAGCATTGCTTATGAAGTGACATACATTAAGTTGTCCATATTCAAACGTTGTTGTTTCAGTAATGATTTTCATGTAAGTTTTTTGTTGAAAATTTGTCCATTTGGTTTTCTACCAACTATCCAGTCTACTATAAAGTTATAGTGAGCTTAAGCCCCAAAGGCATTATCACAAGTGATTGATTTAATGAAACATAAGTGTTGTTGATTATAGATTGGAGACTTATTGCTTCATTTAAATCAGCTGTCACCGCAGCGTAAAAACGTCAGATAAATATGCCTAATTTAATATTGAGACAAAGTATGATGAGATATTGCATTAAAAAGCGGCTCTATTTGTCGCAAATAAGACCCAACCCATTGCTGATCGAATTCGCACCATACAGGTTTCCGTCACTCAGACAAGACCTGGTACGGGTTCGACACCCCCACGGGATACATGTGTGAATCGATGTGCCTAGTAACCCAAGCTTGCTTTTGTTCACTCTTTTTGAACAAACAACGCAATGGTGAATAATCAGCGATGACGTCACCCAGTAAAAGAAAACTCCGTGTTAAGTTGAATACCGCAGATATCAATACTTTCGTTTCAGCAAATTTACACAATTCCGTGTAAATGTTTACTACCGCGAGATATCAATATTTTCAATTCAGCAAATTTACACAATTCCGTGTTAATGTCTAATACCGTGCCGAGATATCAATATTTTGGTTTCAGTTTTCGTATCAATAATATGCAAAGCCGGTACATACACAATGCGTAGGCAAACAGACCTGCATGACGAGTTATCAAGTTTCGTAGTTACGTGATCCGTTACACTAAAGAAAAGGCCTCGTATACTGATATTTGTGCAAGTAAAAACCGGTCTTAGCACTACCTCTAGCAAAACTCGTGCAGGGAGTCCACATTGACTATAGTCTCGAATGATACCCAATGCGTAAATGCTATTGAAATTGGTTTCAGAATTAGTTCACTCATAAGACAAATGAAAAGATGTATCGAACTTATTCCTTACAGTATAAATAACATAAAAAATAATTCAACAAATATATCAAGCTTGTTGAAATCTTAGTTGAATCTTTATGATACGCAGGAATACTATGTAAAAGACTACCTTGATATCTCCGTTTCCATCTGATACATGATCGTAAACAGTTGAGGGCTGCTTCTGGTATGCCACTGTGTACTTCTTCACATACCAATCGATCAAGCCTCCTTGTGTGATGATACCATACACCACTGTACTCTTCTCGAGGTCTACCTCAATCCAGGGATTTGCATCGGTACTGTACACATAGTAACGTAGTGTTAAGAACAGTGCAATAATCCGGAAAACATATCCGCAAGCAGTTTTGGAGCGAATGCAATCAAAACTACTCAGTTATAAATACTGACTTGCTGTATGCTTAGAATTGGTTGTAAGGTTTGTCGTTTCTATTAAACTATTCTAATGCTTTGAAGCGTTGATTTGCAGACAATATTGTTAGGTCAGTTTAGTGCTAGGTTGGTGTTGTACTTACCTCTTAGGATTCCATTTCCCATTTATGTTATTGAGACGTGCCTCAATGGCAGGAGCATTGGCAGTACTGCTGGACGCCCTGATCTGACCATCAGCGATTGTCATGTCTTCCATACCAAGGGGCTCCGGACTACAACACTCGGCCGTTAGCAGCAAGTCAAAAAATAAACGAAAATGTAACATAAAATAACCCTCCGAGAGAGTAGTTTTATTGGATACTTTTCAAATCTTATTAATTTGTTTTACATTTTCAAAGTGTAAAAATTGCCACGGATGATCTTATTTGTATAAGGTATTGGGTGTGATATGTGCCGTGCAGCGGGTCGTAATATGAGAAGTAAATAACTATGGTTATATAACCGACAAACAGATCCTTGTCATTTGATTGGTGGAACTCACATCACGTGACATTCGTTATTGCTCCCATTCACGCCACGGCTCAAAAAGTACTATCTGCCGATGGGGAATGGGAAATACTATTCAACAGTTAGGATCATGACGCGGTATTTGTGTGCAAATGCATGCTGGTGCGCGCGGTCAGCGTTGCGCGTAGCGCGTATTGTTCCAAAGAGCCAGCGCTACAGCGTTGGGTTGAAACATTTTGTTAAGGGGTGGTTTGGAAGAGAGAAGTACATTTTACTCAAGTTTTGTATTGAAAAAAAAAGGTTCAAATATATCAAATGAGTGGCTTTAAATTGTGAAATGGGAAGAATATTATCGCTCGGTAAAATCTGGACTTTTCCGGTTCACTTGGCTTCGCCTCGTGAAATGGAAAAGTCCAGATTTATCTTGCGATAATATTCATCCCATTCCACGCTGAGCCACTCAATATTTGTATACTATATCTCCCAGACCTGACGAAACATGTCGGGGGAAATCAGTCTGCCCTCGTCTGAGTGCATATAATTTATACCTCAGGCACAATCCCTTCGAATACAGATACTGAGCATTACGCTAAATATCAAATTTAGCACAGCAAGTGACAACGTGAAATATAGGCTACACGTGTTCAAGACTGATGACATGCTAGGCAGATAGAACGAATACATAGGTACCAGGAAATTAGCACATCCAAACAATACACTCTCAACAAGATATGTAAAGAATAATTAGGTAACATTTGTTATGTAAAATAATAAACAGTTTCGGTAGAAATTGCCGGAAAAAAAGTACCTCGAAAACATGTAAATTGAAAAACACACATTGAAAAAGTAAAGCAGTCAGTTTACCTTAATTATTTAAAAACGTACTGCAATTAGGTAAAACGCACTACAAATAAGAGCATAAGAAAAATTGGAGTACACCGTGACGTCTGTAACAATGAGGGGATGTGCCGCAGCTAATTCGGTCTTTGAAGGTAACATTTTCTAAAGCTCTTGCGATTGTTATACCGTCCTCAAGCCCCAGAAATGCCTGGACACTTTGTACGATAAAACCCCAGGATATATGTTTAATATTAGTAGTGTTTACCTCGGCCACTGCGCGTATTATACAAATCGTGTGTGAACCAACTCGTAGCGAGACAACTCGTACATGTCGTACGCGGGCCAACTCGTACGCCAGCCAACTCGTATGCCGGCCAAAATTAGTCAATTTAAAGAAATTGAACGATACACCGTTCCCAGTACATAGTCAAGAATCGTCGACTACACATATTTTTGTTAACGAGTTTAATTCTGTGTACGAGTTGGACCGCGTACGAATTTGTCCAGGTACGAGTTGGGAAAGAATGTTACAACTGATATATCATCTCAATGAAGGTCAGTCATTGAAAAAATGATGATAAGACATAAATCTGGGACTGAAAAACATTTCCGTTTTTTTAGTAAATACGTAGAAAATGTCTAGACTCTCCATAGATTTTGTATACAACCACTGAAGTGGCGTCAGGTTGCAACATCCTTTGCAGAGTTGTCATGTGTACGAGTTGGTCGCGTACGAGTTGGTTCGCGTACGAGTTGACCTGTATTCGGCCTATGTACACGTATACATTCATGCGTGCATACTCGCCGTGGCCGAGCTGTGGGCCATGGGTTATGCATCCTGTACTTCTGTATCTTATCTTGCTAAGTGTCCAAGAACTGCTTTGGATTGGGGACGGTATGACAATTATAAAGAGCTTGAGGAAAATGATATCTTCAAAAACCTGTTGTCACAGACGTCATGGTTTCTCGAACTTATAGCTATATGTTTTGGTATGCTTCACAGTTCTGAAAGAGAAAAAATAAAATCAAAATGAAACAGGTCGTGTTTTGATGGACTTCCGCAGTTGTTTACGTTTAAAAAACACAATAATATAGTATTGTTTTACCTGAAAGTTTAGTAAAGTTTACTTAATTGTCTTTTACCTAATAAATGTGTAAACATATTTTCCTATACATCGAGTAAACTTTTACACAACTGTCCAGAAAACTGTTACCCAACATGTATTTTATAAATATTTACACAATTGCAAGCGAGTTCGTAGACATATAAAACATGGTAAAATTTTACACAACTTGTGTAATTTTTTTGTGAGAGTGTAGATATTCGTACGGCTTTTCCTAGAGTACAATGTTGAACATGGGTCATTCCATGTCAGACCAACACACTTTTTTACCTCATGTCTTCTGAATTTGATAAAAAATTGCTGTGCTTGTAGGTCCTGATGAGCAATGAATGCACACCAATTTTTAGCCCGATCCGACCTACCATGTGGTCAGGGCAGAAACCACAAAAAACGGACATTTTTAGAGTAAAATACCACCCTTTTGGCAGAAATATGTCAAAACCATGTTAATTTTCATCAAATATATGCGAATTTGGTATCAAAATAATAAGAATTGCATGCTCAAATCAATTCTTTTGTCAAAATCCTGGGTGCGCCACTGCTGATAATTTATATTATGAGTCTGGTTAGACCTCATCAGCCCTCAACATGAGAAATTCCCAAACCAAGATTATTTTAAGTAGCTTTAGAAACAGAATAGTAAGTTGTGTGGGTGGATTTCTAATGTAAAGTCTATAAATTGACTAATTTGTAACCTACCAACTGTACAAAAATAGTCATATATTTGTAAATTTTGAAGACACCAATTGATTTGTAGTAGATTCTGATGGAGGAAGACATGCTCTATTGAGTCATTTTTATTTCGTTGAATTTTGGAATGATACATTATTACATAAATTGGGTCAAAGGTCACGATAACATATTAAAGGTCACGTGACCTCCCTTTCACAAAATTTAATTTCGACAAAAGAGTTGCTTTGAGCATGCAATTCTCATTATTTTGATACCAAATTTTGCATATATTCGATGAAAATTAACATGGTTTTAACATATTTCTACCAAAAGGGTGGTATTTTACTCTAAAAATGTCCGTTTTTTGTGGTTTCTGCCCTGACCACATAATAGGTCTGATCAGGCTAAAAATTGGTGTGCATTCATTGCTCATCAGGACCTACAAGCACAGCAATTTTTATCAAAATCGGAAGACATGAGGTAAAAAAGTGCGTTGGTCTGACATGGAATGACCCACAGGTCAATTTTATTCAGACGACCGCCTGATTTGAAGGAAAGGTAGTCAAATGTATCTGTTCCTGACGTGTTGATGGAGTTGATTATCTCAATCTCTTAGCATAGCGAGGTAGTCAAATTTAGTCAACACAAAAGGAATGGTAATATTGCAACCCCCCCCCCCTTTACACTATGCTGCTTTTATTACAACTCATACACATCAAGTTTTCATCTAAGTATGGTACCACCAACAATCATTGTTATCGTCCCAATGTGCACGCTCGCGGGTTTGCTGCGATACTCTGACCCACGACCCAAGAAGCATGAGAAGTTTGCACAGTATCCATCAGATTTTAAAGGGGAACATCATTCTGGATATTCCAAAGGTCTGGTTGAGAAAAGATAAAGAATACAAACAATGTTTGCTGACTTCTTCCGCGGCGGCTGTTTTGAGGTATACGAATGTATTTTGAACCTGAAATAAGTAACCTGAAATAAGTCTCCTTTTGAACAATACTTATGATATACAGCTAGCACCAAAACACAATTGATGACTGTTGTTCGCACTTCCACACATTATTTTGTAGGCCTATTGTGCATGTAGGGATTCAATGCACCAAGCCCGGTTCATATACTCTGCGCGAAAGCGAAGGCGAACGCGAATTTGTGACGCCGTGGCAAGTATTCGCGCTGCGAATTCGTAAAAGTTTAACATATTTCAACTCGGGGGAATTTCGGAGCGAATGTTTCATGACGTCAAATTCGCTTCTCATTCGCATGAAGTATGAACCGGGCTTCAGGGAGCGAGGCCCGAGCGAAAGAAGCGTACGCTGCGGTAGAAAACTTTCCATTGCTCGCAAGTGACTCCCATGAGGACTGAAGAAGCTGCGATAATTTCATTAATCTACAACAATAGTCAGTGCTTCCTAATAAGCTCATATACCAACATATTAATAAGTGATAGGACAGGAAAAGGGCATATAAGCACTATCCAAACTATTCTGCATTAAGTCGCCTAAGCCGTCACATGAATTGATACATTTGAAATCAAAATGTTCCGTCCACATTATTCATCGAGTGACGGTACATTTTCCGATACGAAATATTTTAGGTAACTTACTTGCTGGGTGGGTCCCATCTTTCCCGGGCAACGCTCCCGTGCCTCTCGCATGACATGCCTCACCCAGTAGTACGGATCCTCTGGATCAGGCTCCAGTGGCGGACCAAAGTAACCCACTTTGGCCTGACTACAGCTGCTTTCCACACCACCCATGAACACTTCGGAAAAATACAAATAAATTAGTACCTATATGGATTAGTGTGTATTGTTTTGTATGTCTTCTGTGTGTTCCGTGTTTTTTCTTTTGTCCATTTGATTTCTTTTGTTACAAAACAAAAATATTTTTACACTGTTATCCATGGGAACATATGCAAAGAAACTTTGTTTATTCAAATTGGTATATTGTTTCCTGCCACGTTTCTTGCCATTGCTAATGACTAATTCAAATAAGGATGGAATACTTTTTCTTAATTTATATACCATATTTGCTTGTGTGAATTATGATAAAAGGAGAATCGGGCCAAATACTAGTACTTCAAGTCAGTGTAAATAGAAATGTATAAATAGTAGGTCACTAACAATACCATGATATTTGCAAGAAGTAACAATATTCAAACAGTTTGAGAC